ATTATGGTGTTCGTGGATTGCACTGTCTTGGCTGCGATGAGCCCTTGGTCGGCTGTTACTATTGAGCGGCGGACAAAAAATCTCACCGGAGAACGGGCGGCGGAGAAAAGCTCACCGGAGAGAAGCTCACCAGTGAAATGCTCACTGCAAAATCGACAAATGCAAAGAAAAGCTCATTTACGAAATATTTTATTACTGTTCGCACTGCGGTGTTTATATTTAAAACTCACGTCCGCACTTTGCTCAGCACTCGCGCGCTTTTTGTGTGTTCGTATATTTGTAAAACCAAGTGTTCTCGTTCAGCCCCAGAAGAACAGCTTACTTTCTAAGAAAAATGGGGAAGAGGCAGACAAATCTACAGTTTTGCAGAATGCAAACACATGAAAAAGTGGGAAACGCTTTTTTTTTATATATATAACTTTTACACGGAGACAGGACATCGCCTCAAAGTTGTGTACTACGAAAAGTAACAATGTGACCCCCGTCTTGGCACCCGACGACTCCTGGCCCCCAAAAAGTATCAAGTTCGTCTTAGGCCTCACAACCGAAGGAAGTCATTGTTTACTACAAAGCAAAAGAAAAGCAGAACATAATATTACCGCGTGCGCGGCTTGCCAACTAGGCAGCGCGCCCGTGGCCTAACGGTTACCGTGCTTATCTTCCACGCAAGTAGCCGAGGTTTGATGCCTGGCCGCGGATACATTTATTTTTTATTGTTTCTGTAATGTTTGGTTCTGGTAAATTCCATAACCCTGTTGGGGGGCTTATTCGAGGTTAGAACGTTCTGCGCGCCGAACCTTCTACGCCGGTTGTTCCAGAAGCCCACGCGTGTACGTAACGAGCTCCGCGTGGAGAGCCGGAGTCAGTCCCGATCCTGCTGTTTCGCCAACCTTCTATTTTCTTCGCCCCATTAAACGTTTAGTTTTTTCAGTTATTCAACGCCTCATCATTTTTCATTCGTGACATTATATTTATCCTTTGAATGCAAAGAAAAAACAATATTTACAAAAACGAGAAACGATCTGGCAAGAAACCATGATGTTCGATGAAACGGTGTTCTACGAGACGGCTTCGACGGAATAGACATATTGCTATATTACGCTTTCATCAAGGATAATGCGGGGATCGCTGTTGCACGCGCCACACGTGCTGGCCTCAGCAGTAGTAACTTTTCTAAAACAAATACCTAAAACAAATGGCGTCTTGCATGCACATTCATTAATGCTTTATTTTGCTTACTTACTTCGAACCTTCGAATGCGGTGCTCGGTAAAACATGCTAGAGCCTCAGTGGCAATTCACTTTTGCGAAGTGATTAATCGGAACACGTAATCATGGAAGTTATTTTTTTAATATTTTTTTTAAAGCATAGCTTTGTGACTCTAGAACTACGCTTTGATCAGTACGCATATAAGACACAACACTATCTAAACTTGGGGTTATTGATTTTTTTAGCATTTCGGCAGTACAACATATAGTTCTGATACCGTGCCACTTCGACAATGCACACCGATTTAGGAATCGGGGTGACCGTTGAAATCCGGTGCTATGGAAAAAACGTTGTGACTCTAATGGCTGCTGATGGTATCGGGAACTGGTTCATTTCGTTTCTTTTTTCACACAAGGAAATCAGACACTTTTTAGAGTAAGTAGCTTTATTTTTCTAAGCACTGCTTCGCAGTAATGAAAAGAAGGCTCTGAGGGGCCGCTATTTAGGACGCAGCGCCATTCTGACTTGTGGTAGACTATTTCGCAACATTATGACACGACACATGGCGCACTTCGTTTTGTAATGACGATGTCAACAGTCTACATATTATATAGAAATTGTATCGTACGAAAAATCTCGGAACGCGAAGAACCGAGCCAAATGAATCCAAAGTATCAGGCAGCTAAATGAGGCGTTCTCTAACAGTGTTTTTTTTTTCTTCTTCCTAATCCGGTAAGAATCGGACAAAGGGCTCCCTTGGCGATGGCCTCGGAGGCCCACAACACTCCCCGCTATCCTCCTTTTGAACGGACAAAAAACAAAGCCATTCTCGCAGCTCGCAGGGTGGTGGGACGGGATGCGTGAAGTGGGGGGCTTTCAGGGTCAAGCCGTCCGCTGAGAACCGGAACAAAAAGTCGAGCTTTGTCTTTATTTTTATTTGGAAGCAGCACTATATCGCGTAAGCAGTTGAGTGGAAAGGCGTCCTCCCCAGAGCCATCTGGATTCTGAAAAAGTTCCTATCGGAGATGAAATTCTACTGAGATATCCTCTTAAGTCTCTGCAACCAGCAGGTTCCAGGCGTGAAGCCGTGCTTCAACACGAACGTTAGGTCGCGAGCCTGCTCGGCAAGAATCGGGCCGCTGACCAGGCCGCCCTTGGGACACGCGTTCAGAGACCATATGAGGAGTGCAGCCTCCATGTCCTCGTACATTGACTTGCACTGCTTCTTGCAGTCTACGCGGAAAGCATCATTGTATGTGCCGCATTAATTTTGTCTGCGTTCTGAATTCTTTTTGGTGATGTCCGATTTCTTTTCGGCGATGTCCGATTTCTTCGAACCACGTTGATGATCTTGCAGGATAGTCCGCTTCACCTTTAATGACAGGCCTCTTCTTTTCACTGTTGAGAGTCCAGGTGAACTGGGAAACAGCATCGTTTACAAAATCTGGGGACAGTCGCGGTTGGCTGCGATAGATTCAGTCAGGTAGAGTTCCGTTGTCCTATGGTGTGGTGGGCAGTCTACATCTTTGCTGAGTGAAAATTTGGTGTAGATCTGTAGTCGGGGAGAGAAACACGCAAGGTAATCAAGTCCTCAGATCAAATCTTCAGTTTTGCTGGGGCGTCCTCTACCCTCTCCCCCATACATATAGTGCTTTCCCATGGGTGCCCCCCCCCCCCCCCCTCCCCGAAACAAAATCCCGGCTACGTGCCTGGCTCAGCGTATGGCCAGATATATCCCCGCGAGTCATTTCAGTATCCACCAAATGCATGCCAGACTTACGTGACAACCACTGAAGAGCACTGAATTAATTGTACATTCAATCCTACGAAGCATCTGCTGAGACATGTATACCGTAAAATACCGAGCAAGCGCCCACTCAAAATTATGGGATAATCGCGGAAAACTCGGGGATGGGCGCTTGTTAGGTCCAAGAGCAAAAACGCAGAAGGATGACATAGTTGGGTGGGCCCTTGCTCAGCCAGAACGCCGAATTCAAAATGGCGGCCATTTGATGCACTTGGAAAAGGGCCATCATTTGCCGAGCATGCGAACGTATAAAAGCAGAGAAGCCTTGCGGAAGCATGGATATAAACAGTTTATTGAGAGGAATGAAAAAAAAAGAAGCACTAAGTGCGTAAGAAGTGCGCAAAGCCGGAAATCTGCTTCGAAAGGCATTCACCGCATCACCAAAGTCCAATGGCGCCTTCTGGCTGTCATTCATGCACACCCGCATGGACACACCTAACCGTTTCTTCCACCGTTTCACGTACTGCGACGACGTTTTGAAGTTCCCCAGGTTCAGTTCGTCCGCAATCTTGATTGCTTCTTCCTCTAGAAGCCGGTTGCTGACCGCGCGGCCAGCCCTGCGTTCATCCTCCAAGAATTCAAATAAGGCATCATCAACCTCTTCACTGAAGACTGGTGCCCCGTCACTCAGCTTGCGTTTCAGCCGTGATCTTCCGTGGTTCTGTTGCAGGAGCAGTTCGTATTACGAGTCCCACTCGTGCGCTCTTTTACGGTCAATCTTGAACTCACACGATGTCCGGCCTACATTCTTTCCATGGCGCCTATGCCATTCAACAACTTCGACTTTCCTAGCGATCTTATACGAGTGCATCGTCCAAACAAGGGAACTGAGCGAACGCAAGCAATGCAGCGCGATGAATACGGAACTAACCGAACAAGCGGAAGCGAAGAGGCAGAGGCACACGGGCACACGGCACGTGTGCAGCACACGCGCTAAGCTCTGTGCGGCTTTCCATTCGCTAGATCCTCCTTTCCAACGTAGTGTATCTTCACTGCTTTACTCTTGCCACCGTGCCCTTGCCTCTCTTCCTTTGTACACCAGCTCACCTGTATCTTTTGTTATTTCTGCCATTTGACCTCGATTCCCGCGGCGCCGGAGTGTTGCCATGTTGCGCCAGAGCCCTTCGCCCGATTTCCGCGGCCCCCTTCACCCGCGCTGTCGTGACTCATAACTAGTGCCGGTCGCTTCAACTTCAGGAGATAACGGCCGTCCGCGGCACCTGGGCACTTGCCATGTCCTTCACATATTTTTTGAAATTTGCATAAAATGGGGGGTGGGGGGTTGATGTGTCCTTTGTTCTTGAAATTGTTCAAAAATAGGGGGTTGGCCCTTAATGTGACATGGGCCCATGCTCGGTATTTTACGGTGTGTATATGTTGTATGGTTACCATACTGTTATGTCCAAGGAGCCAGCCCAATGGCAGTTGGGTGCAGAGGACAAACGACGACGAAGTGAAGCAGTTGTTTGAGCAGTGCGTTTGTCGCCATGTTGGCATTGCTCACCGTGTTACGATAATAAACAAAACTCCTAAGTAAATACTGGCAACGAGGATGGGATACCACACAAGGTGGTGTCAGACAACAGAACAGCGTTCGTGTTTGGCGAAATACAGAACTTTTACAAGGTCAATGGAGTTTGGTACGTAACGTCCGCTCCATACCATCCTACTACCAACAGGCAGACAGAGCGATATGTTGCCGAGTTGAAGAGAGCGCTGGCCCGAGAACCGTTTGCATTGGTGGACCTGAGACTTTCACGGTTCTTGTTTTGTCAGCATAGTATGGTTCACCAAACAACAGGTGTTACTCCAGCTAAGGCCATGTTTGGTCGGGAGCTACCAACTCTCCTCGATCGCCTGGTACCGACAGCAGATTCACCAATTGGCGAGGAGATAGAACTATAAGGGTCGCTGTGTTCACCAAAACAAATACAGTCGCCGACCGATTTTGCGGACTTCGTGAGAACCGAAAAAACGTCCGATAAATAAAGCAGTCCGAAAAATCCTCGGATCACAAAATTTGGCTTTATTGAGCCTAGGCGGACTTGAAAGAGTCATCAAGGGTACCTTGTTTCATCTTCCGCCTGCGGGAGATCACGTCCGCTTGCATCTGCGCCAGCGTCATATTCTCGCTGTACACATTGGACAGCAAGGTTAACGCGCTCGTTATGTCCGCTGTCGACGGCTGCGCGTGGTGATCGTCGTCGTCAGAATCCGAGTCTTCTTCAGGTTGTCCGAGGACTTGGCGCACGATTTCCTCGTCCGTAAGCTCCGCGCACAGTTCGAGGTTGCTGTCAAGATCCGCGAACGCACTGAATGTAGCAGCATCAGGAATGTCCATTCCACTGTCGCGCAGGTCGGCGAACAGAGACTCGTCGACATCCGCTGCTGCGGCGATGTCCTCGGCCTCTTGATGGTCCAGACTTGCGTTGTCAGCTAGTGACTCTACACTGGCACAGAAACCTGCGTGCTTGAAGCAGTTGGCAATTGTCGATGGCCGAACGGCGATCCACGCATCCGTCAACATCTTGACTGCCGCATGGAGGTCCACAGCATAACGCTTCCCGTTGTCTAAGCAGAGGACCGTGCGGCGCAGCAGTCGAGCGCGGTAGTGGACCTTGACATTCTGAATGATGCCCTGGTCCATTGGCTGGAGAACACTCGTAGTGTTAGGGGGCAAAAATTCAAGTCGGATGGCTTTGAGGTTGTCCACAGCGCCGTGGGCTCCACAGTTATCCACAAAGATCACCACACGTCGTTTCTGATGCTCGAACACCCTGTCCAGACGGCGCAAGTAGTCCTCGAACAACAGGTGCGTAATCCACGCCTTGGTATTGCTGGAATACCACACGGCAACCAGACCTGTATGTTTGAAACTCCTCGAATCGCTTGTCGAGCCGACAACGACGAGTTGGACTTCCTTGTCACCGACAGAAAGTTTTTTCATGCCTTTGAAACACCTGGGGTTTTTCGCCTTCCCGATGATGAGGAGCGGCAACTTCTCGGTGCCCACCGCGTTCGCCCCCACCATGACGGTGATTCTATCCTTACTGTTTTTTCCTCCTTTGCAAGAGTCACCGTCAAAGCACAGAGACCGGTCCGGTAGCATTTTAAAAAAAAGGCCGGTTTCGTCACAGTTGAACACATCTTCGGGCGCAAACTTTTGCAGTAACGCCTTGAGCTTGTTTAAGCGATAGTCCGCGACAGTGGTCTGGTCGACGGCTCCACTCTCTCCGCACACTTTCTTAAACAAAGTTCCGTGTCGCTTCTTAAAGCCACGCAACCATCCGTCGGTGAACTTGAAGTTCTCTATGTCCATTTTCAGAGCAAGAGTCTCTGCTTTTTGTTTGAGTGCGTCACCAGACACTGGAAGGTTCTTGGAAAGAACTCCTTTAAGCCAAAGCCGGAAAATTGAACTTTCGGGCCGCAAACTGTCCGCAAAACTAGTTGTTAATATGTACTACTTCAATCGGGGAAGTAACGGTTCCCCGTCGATGTCCGGAATAACAAGCAAGTCCGTAATTTCGGAGTCCGATAATTCCGTCGGTAACTGTACCGCCTGCGTGGAAAACAACTTTGGCGTTCCAGTGCACTGCCGTTGGCTCCCATGTTGTTTCTGCGTTCCCTGCTGGTTTGTGAGAATATGGTATGCAATTGTTGCATACCGCAGTGCTCAGCGCATGCTTTAGAGCGTGAATTAGTTTTCATCGCTTTCCTGCCGGAAAGCGATGCAGTGGCAACGACGACTCGCCATTGCACTGGTCGCGTAAATAAAAAGCAAGCACTGAAAAAATCCTGCCACAGAGACTCCAGGCACTCCAACAAAAAATGCAAAATGGCATCCCGACTTGTGCTACTACTGGCTTGGAAGCGGCTACCGCTGGCTCAGCTCGTTGACATGGTTGAAGGCGTCTGCAGCCATCGCGTCTGCTGCATCGCGAGCTATTCAATACATTTGCAGCTGCCGAAACTCGGTAGTTACTATCTGTAACCTGCGTTTGTGTAACATTGTGTATGTTTTATTCTTAAATCTCTCCGTTAGATTTCTAACAGTGTTGTCGGGCTCTTTTGGAAGCTTGGAAATGGTTGAAAGGCGGAAACTGAAATTGTTACACCAAAATCGCCATATTGCTGTACTGAGCTTTGAATATAAGGCAGGGTATGACTTTAAGACTACGAACTTTGGAAAAAAACCTCGCCTTATATTTGAGTAAATATGGTAATTTCTATGCTGACAGTCACTGCAAGCATCTTAGAAAGTAATTATCTTACTGCGAGCAGCAATCTTCTTTTCGGGTGTCATGGGTATTTTCCCTTGAGCACCCAATTTCCGGAACCTGTTGCAGGGCCTGGCGCTCACGCTTCGTTCCAGTAGTTCAGGCGTTGTCCACATTGTCCTGGATGCATCCTTGACGCACTTCGTACACATGTAGCATTGAATACAAACTTGAACTTGCCACAGGGTATGAAAAGGTTGCACCCCACATGAACCTGGAAACAGAACATTGTTGAACATAGCCTACAATATATGCATCGTGACTTTTAAGAAGCAGACAACAAGTCAATTCAAGCCACGACAGTCCTTTAAATAAAGGTGCGAAGAGATGTTCACCTCATCATAAGGTGCGAACGTGCTAATGATATGTGTAAGAATGAAAAAGGCTACCTTTTTTAATACTACTACTAGTCGAATCTCATTAATTCGAACTATCTTAGTTCAAACTAACATGCAGGTCCCATCCTATGCATCTTTATGGGAGGTAACTCCTGGTAATTCAAACATTGCTTTATTCAAACGAATTTTCGGCCCCCCTTGAGTTTAAATGAATGAGATTCAACTGTAGATAAAATATTTTCCTCCGACACCTGAGTATATCGCTAGCCATTAAACATAATTGAGAACTTATATGTATGATCCTGCCACATCCCCGATTTTAATGCACCAGTATAATGGGGAAAATACCAGATTCTACTTCGCAGATTTAGGATTAAACAACACATTGTTCATACAATGTTTCATGAAACACTCAAACTTTGCGATGTTGCACATTTTCCGGGGGGATCGGTGGCCGATTCGGCTAGTGCACACCAGCTCAAAGACCCCAGGCTAGTGGTTGTACTGCACTGGCTAAATTTCTCATCTAGAGTTGGGAGACAAGTCACCCATTGAGGCAGACTAAGTTCTAGGATGTATGAACATACACACATTGCAATTTTTTTTTGTGCACATTTTCCTTTTTTTTGCCACTGCAATCATTGTTTAAAGGAACCTCCAAGTGAAATTCTGCCGTGGACCAGTTTGCAGCGGTTGCAAATAGCAACCGCTGCAAAACACCGCGAGTAAGGATTTTTCAGTCAGTCAGGTCACTGGCTTCATGCGGGACAAATGTGCCCAGTAAAATAAATGCTGTCAATCAGCCCTTGCTTAAATCGTAAAAATGCAATTCCGCTCACAGAAAAAGGGCAGCGAGCCTTTTTTCTGTGAGGACATTTACATGAGGCTCTGAAAGTTCACAAGCCCGGTTCATTTAATAATAATAATAATTGCCTTTATTTCCATCAAATAGGGGGGAGACTGAGGAAAAAAGCTGCTATAGAACAGCTTGACAGGTCCTCGACCCCCTACAGACTGTGGTTGAGCAAAAAGTTTTTGTTAGTGTACGTAAGGAGCAAAATCGAGTCACTGATGCAGAAATGCAAAAACATGCAAGCCATCCTACAAGGTAATCGCACTAGGTCATTGGTGACCTACAAATTCGCAGGGCAGTCAGGCACAAAAAATTCATGATAACAAAAAACACTAAAAAACACGAAAGTGCCAAAAATGAAAAAAAATTGCAACGTGCACTTTCAAAAAAGTTCTATAACATCTAAAGACTATCAAGCCTCATCGTCTTTTTTCTGCAAGCAGAATAGCATTTTTACGCTAGAATAGGGGAAGGATTGACGGCACCCATTCTACTGGATACATTTGTCCCCCATGAAGTCAGTCACGTGACTTGAAAATCCCTACTGCAGATATTACGAATAGCAAAAAATGCTATTCACAACCGCTGCAAATTGGACAAGAGGTAAAATAGAGATTTCAAATAGTGAGCCTTTCGGTTAATACTGAATTTCGAAAGAAGGATTCGGCACACTTTTACCGGTTTAAACCGAAAACACTCAACTCTATATTTATAATACAATGAATATAGCAAAGCACTAAGAAACTGGAGGTAATGGACCAAAAAGTGAGGTAACACAGCAGCAACATTGCTGCATAGCCCCCTTTTTTGAGGCCCTCTATGAGCTCTAAAAATATGCGGTGGAATTTATTGGTGCGAAACATTTATAGCATAGTATAGTATTTTGCCAAAAGTGAATGAATCAAGCCGTGAGCGTGGCCACTAAATTGGTCGAAGGACTGACACGGCACAATTGGCCGAACGTGCGGCGAGGAGCAAACGCCACATGACACAGTGCATGCCAGCACCTGTGGGAGCGCACACTCATAAATACAGCTGCGACAGTTGGGTGAGCGAACAAAAATGTATCTCGAATTGCGCTGCAATTGTGAATGCTACGTGAAACATCCTTGGTTTGGAGATAGATAAAATGCACAGTAAATCCTAAAAGCATCAGCTATAATGCCAAACCAAGGATGTTTCAAGTTGCATTCACAATTGCAGCGTAATTTAAGATATATTTTTTGCTATGTAAATCGTGGGTATACGGCACCGACAATGGATAGTACTATCGGAAACAACATGAGCGTGAACAAGCCTCCGCTTGTCGCCGCTAACTGTTGTGCCGCCCTTGCGGCTCAACAGCTAGCGGCGACAGGCTGTAAAGGGGGGGCGCTGACAACCTAGGTTTTGTAGCACCCCTTTATTACGGCCTGTGTATTAGCCCAGTGGTTGATTTAAAAATCCACATTCACTCCGCGACCGCTGGCACGCAGACAGTTGCTGTGGATCCTAATTTTGGAGCTTTCCCAGCTTTCTCCTCATGCTGGATCTTCTGTTGCATGGCTTTCTGAATACTTTATTAACATTCCTAATGTGCCAGATTAGATGGGTTCGGCAGAACTGAATCAACAATTCTTTGTGGCAACCTTTTGTGCATAATAGGTTTGGAGGCAGTTTTTCTTGAGGCACACTGCCTACACCCTGCAAATGTGCAACTATGCTGACATGTTCTAGAAAACATTTTTTTATCTGCTTAACGGCCTTAAAGAAACCTGCAGAAGATGGGGTAGAGTTGCCGAGGAGCCCCTCCATTCTCCCTGTGAATGCACCACCCCATTCCTTCAAAAGTCGATCGCAAATACAGTCTGTAGGGCGGCTCTTGAGGAACTGCTGCACAAGGTTTCCTGCAAAGCAGTAGAGCACATTCTCCTCCGTGATGTCTGGGAGGTCTTCACCCGACGTCTCACTGGCTAGAGCTTCCTGAATGTCTGGTCCCTGTGCAGGGTCACACTGCGACATGCGTGCTACCACATAGGAGTCATGCACATCGCAGTTCCCGTGAGAGGTCGGAGTGATCAGTTTCCCAACAAAAATGGGCTTCAGTGCAGCAATGAATTGCAGCACATTAGGAGGCTCATTGGAGCCATGCTTTATTCTCAAAGAGCTGAAAAGATTCTGCAGAAGGTCTTGCTGCAGGTGGCATGTCAGGAGGCAAGTAAAGTTGATATTTTGGGAGAGGTCCTCTTGCAGCGTGAGGACAGCCCTGATGGTGACAAGCCGTCACGAATAGTGGCTGTTTGGGGCTGTCAAATCTCCAGCTTGCAATCCATGTGACTACCTCTTGCAAAAATTCCAAGGGTTCAGGATTGGCACTTATAGTGTAGCTCATTTTGCCATTCACGGCAGTGGAGCTGTTGAGGCAGTTAACGGATTATCCACTCTTTCCATGAAGTCTGCTGTAAATTTGGCAGTCCCAGGCAGTGCTCCAATTGAAATCATGAACAGCATTGCCAGGGACACAGTGTCGCTCAAGACCTGTGTGGCAAACCTTACCTTCATGCTGTTGAAGGGCCTTCTATGAATGTAAACATCTGTCAGTTTCCTTGTCAACCTCTGTCTGAGGGGATTAGAGGATTCATAAAAATCATGAATGTGTTGCCAATCTACAATTTCAGAAGGCTTCTTAGCCGATGAAAAGCTTGTGAGGCGCACGCAGGTTATTTCTCGTGCACTTTATTGAGTGCAGAGCGTCAAAGGAGAAATAAATCTTGTTGCCACCTACTTCAAAAGATGAATTTTCTTGTGTCACTTTCAGTTGCTCTGATAATTTGATATTGACCCCTGATTACACACTACTTCTTTCACAAACAACTGAATCTTGTTCAACTGTCTTATTAAGGCCTGCAGCAGTTCCCTCGTCTTTTCAGCACACAATATCATTTTCGCCATGCGAACGCCAGGGGCTGCATGCAGGGCTTTAAGAATCCAGAAAGGAGGTAAATATTGGCTGTTTGCCACCTCAATTGTCCTCTCTATGCCGTCGTCTGAGAAGCTAGTGACCACATCATTTCCTTCGTCATACACGTATTGTAAATTTGGTCGCAGAGACATCTCATGAAACATAGTGATGCATGCCCAATCTTTTAATAGCCAATCTTTAACAGTGCCCTTGAGGACATCAGTCACTGCAGGAATAATTCCGGGTGTCATAGGCACCTCAGACAATCACTTTCGAAGATGCCTCGGAGTCGGTAAAGCCAGCACTTTGGACAGGAATCGACATGCCTTGGGACCATGAAAATACATGCTCCTAGCAAATTCCTTCAGTTCCTGTGGGCACTTCCTCCCCTTCTTCTTGTGACCTTGAATCAGGTGTAAAACTCTGGGCACACAATTGAGCTTAACGTCTGCAGTGCAGCCTTCCTAATGGGCTTTCGGGCCCTCCCTTGCTCTTGAATCCTCGACAAGACTTTCCGGTACCTTTGTGCGGTGCCCTTCCATTTTGAGACAATTTTTTACTGTCTGCGGTGTGAGTAGGTCTCTGTTCTTCCCGCTATGAACCGGGCAAGAACCTGCATAGATAAAGGCAGACCAAACGTTTACACCATGCATGTGGTAATAAATACTGGAGCTATACCTGCCTGCAAATAATGACAGTGGCAAGTAGATGAGAATATTTACCATAAATCTGTTACGTACTGTGCAGTCCCATTGATGCAAATTTTCTTAAATTAAACTTCTTGTTAATTTCAACTAAGATTCTGGTCCCAGCGGATTTGTGTGTGCATGAGTTTTTAAAAGAAAGTTATTCGAGCCCATGAAAAATGTATCAGATGGTTCCAACATGATTGCCCACTGGCACATACTGTTTTCACTTAAACAGCGCAAATAAGTTACGTAAGGTTCTACAATGGGCTCTGTATCATTTTGGCACATACTGCTTGTCTCAAAAGCATAATCGAAAAAGGAAAAACAAAAAACACAAAGCAAGTTTGATATGTCTGTCACCATAGCATTGCATACCTTTAGAAAGAAAAAATAAGGAACTGACGCTTAGTCTAAGCACTCAAGTGCACACCAGTGGTGCGGCGCTTTTATTTTCTTGGTGATTACCACCTTTGGTGGGCAAATGTTACTTTATAAAAAAAACGACATACCAGAGGGTCCATGCCGAGGCGTTGAAGGAGAGCCAGTGGTCTGCTCTCTACCTTGTGGGAAGCTGGCTGTAGGCTTGTTGGAAAGGGCAGGGATGTCACTGGTGCCTGTTCAAAAATGGATGGCTTTAAAAACAGTTCCATTATGCTGTTAATTAATGTTTGACCCTCTGCACCTCTCATTGCCTCTGACATTAGTACCAAGGTCGGTGAGACCAGCAGATCCTTTCTCTTGGTCTTGAGCACGTTCTCGGAGGTCCACAGAGTCAGTGTTGTCTGCTCCCAAGGCCTCTGAAGTAGGCAAGCAGCAGGGTGATATTAGTAATGGGTAGATAAAAGAAACACAAGCAACGCTCAAATTTTATGCAGCTGATGAGAAACAAAAAAATTTATCATAAAGAGGCCTGGGTGACTTAGCAATTTTTGTACTCTCAGTAAATGCTGCCTAGAATTATTCCCCGACATTTGCGACCTATATAAGACATGCATTAGTTTTTGTGTGTTTTTGTTTTTTTTACACGCAACGACAGTCGCAAAAGAAAATGCGAGAAAAGTGAGCAGCGTTCGCCTCCTCAACTCGAAGCAGTGGCATAGCCAGGAATTTTTTTCGGGCAGGGGTGGCTGACGAGGGGGGGGGGGGAGGGAGAGAAGGGGAAGGGGCTGAGAGGGCTGAGATGTCTATGCATTGGGGCGCAGAGGGGGGAAAGGGGCGTCAAAGTGCATGTGTATATCATAGGGTAGGCTGGATTTGGGGGGGTGAGGGGAGGGGAGTTTAAAGCCCTATAATACCCGTGTCAGACAGCGTCCTAAAGGTCCTTTTCTGTAAATGTCCTTTTCACTAAAGGCCCTTTCCCTAAAGGAGGTGCTGCCACACGACCGACAAAATGACATTTACCAGTGATGTTTACTACTTTGGGGCTGACTACAAACAGATAAAAACGAAACTAAAAATATTATTACAATATTATTTTGCTTTTTGTAAACGTTACTTTTTGGTACTTTTAATTGTTATGACAAGTATTACACCACCCCCCCCCCCCCTGTCGCGCTCCACCTCTTTCGCGACTTGGCGTCCGGCCCTCTTCGTGTGAGCTTCGTGACAACTCAGCCAGCCACTACAAAAGGTTGCTGACTCCTGATCTAGCGCAAAATTCCCACGCATTCTCATTCACAACTGACGCTCGGCAGCGTTGCTCACTATGGACAAAACAGGGAATGGCAGTTTCGAGCGGCACGCTCGCACAAGTGAAAAACAAACCAGACGCTGTGAAAAAGGGGCTGCAAAAAACACTTGCCTGTACATTTGCACCAGGTTTTCTATCTTCGTTACCACTTGCTTGCGGCTCCTCATTATGTCCAAGCGGCCAAGGTGCAGCACCATTGTGTCGTACACGCCGGCGTTATGCTTCTGGCGCCGTAGATCGCCGATATTATCTTCCCACACTTGGATTAGGGTGCGGGTCTCCCCCTCGGTCCATTGAACCCTAGAGCCCTTGGACTTTGTGGTTTTCGTGTCGCTTGCGTCCGTCTCAGCCATCTTGGTAAATAGGGTGTAGGCTTTGAAGAATGCACACGATCGCTTGGCTCGAACTGGGAAAGCATGCCAAATTATTATTCGCTCGCGGAGACTCCAAAAACATAGAAAAATGCCATGTTTCCGTAGTTACAGTCTTCACGCTTTCTATTCTCACGTTTTTCTCAATAATACAGTAGCAATTTTGTTTTATGTCCATGGCACCTAGTGTCGAGAGTACTTCTTTATGTCGGTAGGGGCCGTTAGCGAGCTCCTTTCCCGAAATTGGCATTTTAGGGGAAAGGGCCTTTACGGCGCCGTGTGGCATGAACTCCTTCTCCTTTTGGGAGAAGGTCATTTCTGCTAAAGGAGCTTAGGCGATCCTTCTGGCAGGGGTATAAGCCTCCTCCCTGGATATGCCACTGACTAAAAGTCAGAACAAGCAGCCACATAATGTATAGCCCATTATTCGCCGCAAATCTTTATCGGAGCCATGCACTGGAGTTGGCAAATCACAAAACACCCATAGAGTTTCACACATTAAGGTTAACTATAAGTTCCACACATTAAGACATCCTGTAAAATGAGGAACCTACCCAATATTTTTGGACGGCCCATTTAAGAAAGAGCATATCATGATTGTTGCAAAAATAACAAGCTCTAAGAGGGGTGTAAATAAAATATTTCTGTAGCACCGAATGCTATTCTGAATTAGTGACTGTGCCAAAACAAGTGTGTTTGAATTGCTTTTACTCGTAAAGAAACGGAACCTTTCATTGGTCACCTTTAGGGGTGGGAGCACTACTCGCTAGAGCTTTGTTTTTTTTGGGGTCAGCATAGGCTTCATCGGCGAAGTGCTCCAAGGAGAGCCGGTGGCTTTTGTTGATTTGCCCTCTTCACAGCCCCGCCAGGTCCTCCCTGTGTGCCTAGGCCAGCCATTTGTCGCATCTGGAAAAGTGGATGTATGGCATTCAAGACAAACAAATGAGTTGGTATACAAAAGTTATGTTAAGAGGCTGTTTTCCCCGACCTCGATGGACCACCTTGAGTTGCCATAGAGGAGGGGGGGATCGTGGATGAAGCTAGTTGCTGGAGGGCTGGATACGTCGGTGATGAAAAGGCGACCGACAACTCGTGTTAACGAGATCGACAAAACTTTACTTCGATAAAAAAAAAAAGAATCAAACACTGTAAAAAAAATTCAGTCAAAATGACGGGAAATATTTCAGCAGCTCCATTTCCAAGCATCCTACCGTCAAAGTGACTGCAGCCCGTCATTTTCAAATGATGCTGTTTCTCATCATTTTGACATCTTACTTGTCAACCTGAAATACAATTTTGTTGTCAAAGTGATGGCAGGCCGTCATTTTCAAATGACTGTTTCTTATCATCTTAACGTCATACTTGTCACCCTGAAATACAATTTAGTTGTCAATGTGATGGCAAACCGTCATTTTCAAATGACGGTGTTTGTCATTTTCACATCTTATTAACCGGAAATACAGGTTAAATCGCCTTTTTGATAGCAGACCATCATTTTGGAATGACAGTGTTTTATTATGATTTTGACATTTTGTCAACCTGAAATACAATTGAGTCATCAATTTGACGGCCTGACATATTTTCACTGTACAGACTGGCGTCTGTTTGGCCGTTTTCTTGTAAATCTTAAATACAATTCGATTGTCACTTGTGTTGGTTGTTTGCCTCTATTTTGTCCCTTGATATAAGGTTTCCAGAATGATGGAGGTCCACTAGTTTGCTAGTATCTTCTCCATTATTACCGTCAAGATTTGGATTACGAAAAATTGTATAAAAGATTTACAAAAATTAGGAACTATGCTTACATATTTATTAATCATGAACGGCATATAAAATGCACAATTACAAGACTATGCATCAAAATTGCGGTTTGCGTCGTCGTTGTAGTTGTCTTGCGGCTTGCTTCGCCGTCGTAGGTGTTGGCTGCCATGGACCTGAAAAACAAAACATAATGTATGCCCAGAGGAGATACATGGCTGATGCATATTGAATTCGTGGAAAATTGCACAATACGGCAGTAGAAAGAAGGGCGACAAAAATAATCCCTGGAGAAGGAGAACAAGAGGGACAAAGGACAATCACAAATCTCTGAACACAGCTAGGTGACTGGTGCGCGTCCGAAAAAATCCGCCTGGTCCGGGTATCGAACCCATTTGTGTTTGTCCTTTGTCCCTCTTGTTCCCCTTCTCCAGGGATTATTTTCATCATACTTGTCCAGCTCGCCTGCACCTTTGCATTTAATTGCATTATAAAAAAAAAAAGAGACTTATGTAGAAAATAGAACCAAACAATTAAGGTTGAAAACAAAATTACCTTAACCTCCAAATCCAAACAAATATGACAAGGGGAAATTTGATTGCAATTACTATATAATTGCCTTTATAAGATGAAGGTAACAGACCTTTCCGATTTCTATTTATCAATTGTGTTTCACTGTGACTTTTATGCACTACATATGGAATTTTAACTTGTGCGTTGCCAAGTATTTGGGAGGCCGGGGCCTCGTCAATCTAGATTTTTCCCAGTCCCTAGCACCCAGATGGCAATAAATAAATAAAATTTAATAAAACCCGGTCATCTAGTACTTCAGGAATACTCGCAAATGCTTTTTTCTGGCTTTCGAAAGCGCTAATGTTTAAACTAAATGCTGAAACCCAAAGAAAAGCCCCTGATGCGTCCTGGCACTGCCTAGCGTAGCCTAGCGCACCCACGACCATATAAGCTGTGTTCCAAAATACGCTCAGTCTTACTGCAGGGTAGATGTTCAGCACATTGGTGTGTAAAAAGCAGCTCTAGCTGAGTTGTCACGTAATAGCCTGCCTGACTAATCTGGACTTGCACTCGAGTAACTTGCACTGACAACGCGTGCTGGCTATGGGGATGGGGCGACAAAAGAAAAGGAAGAAAACCTAAAGCTTTGCTGTGGTAACTTTTCGGGAGATTTTAGGTCACGTTTGCACAATAGGGAGATGTGGTCAAAATTTGGGAGGTTCCGAGACAATTTGGAAGAGCTGGCAGGCATGTTAAAACTATACTTTGATGACCCCGAAAACATTGTCACAGTGTCGTTTTACAAATATGAATCAAGGGTCTTAAAATACTGGATAGATTAATTTTACTCACAGCTATTACCTACCACGGTATGATCTGCCGCAAAACAGTGACTGTAACCATTTGAAGGTGCAACTCACCAGTGTTAGAGAGTTTGGAGAAGGCTCAGCAACTTTGGTGCACTGCTGCTCGTTGGCCCTTTGCTTCGCCCTTTCAATAGGTTTATCTGCCCGAATTACCTGGAGAGAAATGAGAATAATTAAAATAAATCGTAACATTGGCTATCATTTATTCTTGGTTAAGAACTGTAATGCTGCGAATATGTGAACTGCGGTGGTTTCTGTGAGATCCAGTATGTGTATGTGGTGAAGAATGAGTACAAATATGGTTCTTTGTGATATCCTGGTGGGACCCAATTTCATGTTAATTGTGAGCGCAACTATTAGTGAGATCTATGTGCTGCTGCATACAGTCAAGAGCGACAGTAACTATACAGGCTGTCCTAGTTATCTCGAAGCAAGCTTTAAAATAAAACCGAGTGCTCTAGACAAATGAAACCTAATTTGTTCTGTTAGCAGGCATCTTAACAAAGATACAGTATCACTTTTATTGAGCTACTTAGTTAATAAATGTAATTATCTGGCTTTTTCAATATAGAAAGACGGGCGAAAGTGTTAGTTGGAAAGCTGTAGAGGGAATTGAGAAACAGCCGATTAGGTTGTCCTCAACATGGCACGCCTCGCATGCTTCTTTTTTCCAGGATCAAAAAACATCCACGAAACACAAAGGTACCACGTGAGAACGCACTGGCGGAAGAAAGAAGCAGACGAAGAGTATTGTATTGCGAATACCTCCGTTTCTGAAGCCTCTCTACAAATTTCCAATGCACAGCTTCGCTCTTCAATACTTAATAAGTTAGCCAGTGTTAATTAATTATAAGCTAGGATAAAAAGAATACTGTATCTTCGTCAAAACGCTTGCTAACAACATGCAGTTGGTTTCATTCCCCTAGAGTGCTTTTTCTTAAAGCTTGGTTTGAGACGAGACAACCCTGTATACCTTCCCTTTAAAAGAGAGTGCCTTCCTTTTTCGTGATGCCATGACCGTTGTCAATGGGCGCAAAGCACACATACTCCGAAACGCCACGGTTCACGCAATCGAGCGGAACAGAAACGAGAAGCGGAGGGTGCATGTGGGTGCACCCTCCGCTTCTCGTTTCACAGAATATCTTGTCCAGGACAACATATTCTGTGGTTACATGCATGACACACAGATGAAAGTGTGAATTGAATTCAGCGGTTTCAAGCAGTTGTGCCAGAACCAAAATGTTTTGGTTTGCACAAGAGTTTGCACACTTGCACAAACCCTGGTTGATCATCCAGAATGACAATGTGGGCAGTTGTGCTGCCCTCTGAATAAACAAAACCATCATTGCTAATGGACTTCAGTGTAACGTCATTGTCTTGTGCAAGGCCATTCTCTACAACGGGCAACCTGACCATTTCTATCAGGCATTCAAACAAATGAACCTGCAGCCTATAGTGACAATATTTTCACCGCTCACTTGTGCGGCTATGTACATTTCCAGGTACTGGTGCCTCAGTGCCCAAATGTGGGCAGTATATTTGAAGTTGCACACCTTGCGGGCAATATCCTTAAGTTATTGATGCTTTGATATGAAACGCATTGCCCACAGGCTGACAACTGGACCATACTTCATAATGTAGGAAGGATAGTGTGTCAAGTAGTGGGCAGCTTGCATGGTACAGAAGTAGATGGAAAGAGTGCTTGAAAATCGAGACAAAAAATGAATGAGCCTCTGAAAATAGGACACATGGGTTACAGGGATTCTGCGGCTCATGATGATGTCGACTACTTTCCTCGGTAGCAGGTACAGCCCCCATCCTCATATCCAGGTGAAATATGCTCTCCAACAAAAAAAGAAAAAGAAGAAAAATGTCTAAAGAAATAGAGAACCTGTAAGGTACTGCTTCTGATGTTTGACTTCTCTCTCAAATTATCACTTGACAATTCTTCTGGCTTGTTTTTGCTTTCACAAAGTGCATAGTTATAGTTCCAAATGTGCAGGTTCAGTGCACTGAGGGTAAAAAAGCCATGAGAGATCAGAAAGGGAATAACGTGCCTCATTATGAATGGGATGACTCCCTCAAGAATGTCATGCATTATATCAGGTGGTACCGTATTTACCCGAAAATAGGTCGACCACGAAAATAGGTCGACCCCTATTTATTGAGCCCACCGAGAATAAAAAAAAATAATTCAAATATAGGTCGACCTTTCTTTTTTTTTTTTTTTTTTTAAGGAACTGGGGAAAGTTAGGGCAAAAGAAACAAACCTTTATTTACAGCACTCTCAGCTAAATCACAGGGCGATGTCAAGAAAGCTTCGTCAGCTTGGTAGACATCCTCGCAAATTGGCAACAATACTTCACTGACAGCGTTGTAAAAGGAATGACGACAAGAAGAAACGAAAGAAGGTGGAGACGGGCGAGCGACGAAAGATCAAACACAAAGACGCGAGCAACGCTGCCAGCCTCGTGAGCAACACGCGACCCGCCGAAAAAAAAAAAAGAAACTAAAGTACCTCCGTTTTTTTTTTTTTTTTTTTTTGCGCGTTTGCGAGAAATGGAGCGCATAGGAGGGCAAAGTGCAAAGTGCATGGCGCATCGCGTTCCTCTCCCTCGCCTTCCCCCTTGCCCAGCGAGGGGAACGCTACAGATTTGCTACAGGCGTGATGGCGAAACTCGACGCCCGAGGTTTGTGCGCGAGAGCCGTAGTCGGCGGCCACGGGCTGTCGGCTGCTACTGTTCGGTTGTTTTTGTGCATCAAAAGCTTTTTGAAACAAGAAGCCGCGCGGCTCTACCGGGACGCCGGCTAGGTGATTGATAGCTCCATACCCTCGGTAGGGTTTCAAATTTTGGTTGCGAGTTAGGTCGAAATTCTTTGGTCACGATTATAGGTCGACCCTTAATTTTTGACAACATTTCCGAAAAAAAAAGGTCGACCTATATTCGAATAAATACGGTAAGTGCTCCGTTGGCTCGAATCCAGAGGAGGTCAGTGCGTGGGTCTTTTTGCACCCCGTAGAGTAAATTGGTGTGTACACCAGACCTTAGCACATCAATGTGATGCTTGTGTCCAGTAAGGGTCCTCTGCACAAAATCTCGTTCTAGATACTTCTAGCCAATTCCACGTCGGAGAGCCTTTTAAAATCTACAAATACAGCCATGGTTGAAGCTGCCTTTAAATTCTGCCAGCCTGTGACTAGAAAGGTTGTCCCCTGTCATTGCTAGCACAGAGCCATGGAGCGCTGCGAGATGTTGTTTACTAGGGGCTCAAATATCTTCTGCTGTCTTGTCTTTTACCGGGAGCACGAGATGAATTCCTGACAGACGAGATCTTAACTTCTGTTTGCAAGTTCAGAATTAAACTGCTGTCAGTTTATTTGCTCCTGTTACTTCCTAGAGGATTGCAGGCCTCAAATTTGGCACTATATAGCTGGATGCAGACTTTCTTTTGGTCACCCTGAAAATATGTATGCTCATAATAGGCGGTGCCATCAAAGACATTGGATAAGTAACCATCCTTAATGGGGTGGTTGTAAAGGTCGTTCCACATATTGGGCTTTTCAAGTATATGCCTCAGCATTTTGCACACAGGAATATATTGAAAGTGTCAGCTTTTCCGTTTTTGTTTGTTCCTAGGAGCGCAGTCACTGGTTCCACAAATGGAAAACATCCTTTCTAATAGCTATCTGCCTGCCCTTTGTTTCGAAAATCACTTTTAGTATTGTGATGCATCCTTGTCTTTTTTAAGATGCCAGGCGTCGAAGCAAAGCTTGGTGTCGGGGTAGTCCGTCTTCATCATGTTGTAGAGGAGACCAAGAGATGGCGCCAGGAGCGCATCGTGATCTAGATAAGCGCGTGCGCCGCGAGACGCGGGGGACTTTTCGCCACTTGATGCTAGGGTAATAAACGTTGTGGGTCTGCTTCGTCTACCCTCGTCTGCTTCGTCTGCCCGGCTGGCGCGTCGCGCCCAGAGCACACAAGCTCTGAACATGGTGTCAGGAGTGGGGTACACCTGCTCGTAGTCAGCGCTACCGCCATGCCGGACGAAGAAAAGAGCGTCCACCTCGGGGCCACGGGGCTTCAACCGCCGTCACCGTTCGTCTTCACGAGCCCAGGCGAATGGACAACGTGGATTCAAACGTACGAGGACTACGCCTTCGCCACCGGTCTACGTTCTGCAAGCGACGAAACGCAAGTAAGAACGTTGCTTTATTGCATGGGTCCGCAAGCTCGTACCGTACTAGCTTCGCTTGGCGTGCCAACCCCGGAGACGCAACCGTTTGCCGCCGTCAAGGAGAGGCTGACTCAACACTTCGTTCATCCGGCGAACGAAATTTACGAAAGCCGAAGATTTCACCGCAGGACTCAGCAGCCTGGGGAAACAGTCGACGCGTTTTTCACGGAGCTTCGAACCCTAATCAGACGCTGCAACTACAACAGCCCCGAGATAGAAGACCGCCTAGTGCGTGACAAGTTCGTAGTCGGCTTATTGGACGAGAAGCTATCGGACCAGCTGTGCCGTTCCACACGACTCACCGCTGACGAAGCACTTTTACAAGCCCGCCAGCACGAAGATGCTGAGAGGGAGCGCGCTTCTCGTTCGGCGCAAACTGCAGCGGCCTTGAACGTCGACGCGACGAAGAAAAAGACTGCGTCATCCGCTCCGTCGTCGCGCGCACGTAACCGGCAGCAGCGTTTGGACAACGCAGTTTGTGGCAATTGTGGGCGTTCTGCGCATGACCGCAAGGATTGTCCAGCACGGAAGGCAACTTGCAATTTCTGTAAAAAGCAAGGTCATTTTGCTGAAGTTTGTCGCACGAAGAAGCGCAAGGAGAAGTTGGGCTCCGTCGAACTCTGCTCTGTTCGTACGCAACGGGCAAGATACGTCGAAGTAAGCGTCAACGGCCACGTGACAAGGTTCAAGGTAGACTCGGGAGCAGACGTCACCGTCGTTCCGCCGTCGCTTCCAGGCGTTCCTCGCAAGCTCGACGCAGTGGAAGGAGAGCTTATCGGCCCGGGGAACCAGCCACTGCCTGTTTTGGGCACTTTCCAAGCTACTCTGGCGTGGAAGGACAAGCGCACCGTCCAACAGCTTTACGTCATGCGGGCTCAAACTACACCGCTTCTAGGGTTACCTGCGATAGAAGCTCTTTTCGTGATCAAGTTTGTGAACACCACCTCCGCCGAGTCCGGAAAAATGGATGGACGTGTCCCGTCTTCCGACGCTCGTGTCAGCTGTGTTCCATCTTCTGACGCCCATATCTTTAAAGGACTGGGCGAACTCCAAGAAAAGTACACCATTCGTCTGAAGTCAGGGGCTCAGCCGTACTCGTTGAGCGTTCCAAGACGAATACCGCTGCCGCTCTTCGACGTCGTCAAGAGAGAACTTGATGGCATGGAAGCTCAAGGTGTCATCAGAAGGGTTGACAAGCCGACAGCATGGTGCTCCGGACTTGTCGTCGTCCCCAAGTTGTCGGGTGGGTACAGGCTGTGCGTCGACCTGACCAAGTTAAACCAAGTCATCGAGCGGGAGCGATACGTCCTGCCGACGGTTGACCAGATCCTGGGGCAGCTAGGCGAGGCCAAAGTGTTTTCAAAACTCGACGCGACCTCCAGTTTCCACCAAATCAAGCTCAGCGACGCAAGCGAAGAATTAACGACGTTCATCACGCCGTTTGGTCGCTACTGCTACCGTCGTCTGCCATTTGGTCTGGCGTCTGCACCCGAATATTTTCAACGTCAAATGTCACGGGTCCTGGGGGGGTTGCCTGGCGTCGTGAATATGATCGACGATGTCCTTGTTTACGGTAGAGACCTTGAACAGCACGATCAACGCCTTGCTGAGGTACTCCGACGACTTGAGCAAGCCGGGGTCAAGCTCAACGACCAGAAGTGTGAATTCTGGGTTCCCTCGGTCAAGTTCCTCGGAGTCGTCGTCGATGGAGATGGTATCTCGCCGGATCCCGACAAGCTTCGAGCCATTCGGGAGCTACCTCCGCCAACGGACGTTGCAGGTGTTTGCCGTCTACTGGGGATGGTGAACCACATTGGACGCTTCCTGCCGCACCTTTCGGACGTAACTGCCCCCATCCGTTCACTTCTCAACAAGTCAAGCGCATGGTCCTGGGGAGCAAGCCAAAATGACGCGTTCAAGCGGTTGAAGGCTATGCTGAGCTCGGAAACCTGCATGGCAAAGTACCATCCACGCTATCCTACGATACTGTCCGCAGATGCAAGCTCATTTGGCCTGGGAGCGGTACTGCTGCAAGATCAGCCGTCCGGAGCTCGTCGTGCTGTGGCCTTCGCTTCAAGGTCCTTGACTCCGACTGAAGCACGCTACAGTCAGACAGAAAAGGAAGCTCTCGCCGTGACCTGGGCTGTTCTTCGGTTCGACCAGTATCTGCGTGGGCTTAGTTTTACCGTGGAATCAGATCACCTGCCTCTCGTCGCCCTGCTGGGAAAAAAGGAGCTGGAGTTGCTGCCACCGCGAATTCAGCGAATGCGCATAAAGCTGATGCGCGACCAATTCGACGTTCGGCACGTACCAGGTAGACTTCTTGCCACGGCGGACACGCTGTCACGTGCCCCTTGCGATGTCCGGTCTTCTTCTACAGTATTCTCCGTCGAAATTTTCGCTAGCGAGATATTTAAAGGTCTTCCACCTCCCCTCGCTAACAGGCTGGAAGAGGTTCGCCGTCGACAAGCTGAAGATGGAGAATGTTCTCTCGTCGTCCGCTACTGCCAAGAGGGATGGCCAGACAAGAGGAAGCTGCCTCCCAACTTGGTGCCGTATTGGAAAGAGAGAGGAAGGTTGACAGTCTCGGAGGACCTTCTTCTGCTGGACTGCCGCCTCGTTATTCCTGCTGCTCTGCGTAGCAACGTCCTGGCCCTTCTGCACGACGGCCATCAAGGACTTCGCCGCTGTAAGGAGAGAGCCAGAGAAAGCGTCTGGTGGCCTAACTGCAACAGCCACATCGAACATTTGGTCACCAGCTGTGACAAGTGTGCGGAAACAAGGGTTGTACGCTCGGAGCCCTTGATGTCAACGCCTACACCAGATCGGCCGTGGCAACGCCTAGCCATTGACTTGTTTCAGCTGAAAGGCCGTGATTATGTTCTCATGGTGGACTATTACTCTCGGTTTCCGGAAGTCGTCTCCTTGAGCTCTACGTCAGCCTCAGCGGTTATCGCGGCTATCAAGAGCTGCTTTTCCCGACATGGGATACCGGACGTTGTACGGACAGACAATGGTCCGCAGTTTGCTTCACAGGAATTCGCAAACTTTGCTCTGTCATACGGTTTCGAGCATGAGACCAGTAGCCCTCGATACCCGCAGAGTAATGGCGCAGTAGAGCGCATGGTGCGCACGGTGAAGGATCTTTTGTACAAGTCCGAAGACCCATACCTAGCGCTTCTCACCTACCGGGACACTCCGGGCGTCGCGGGAGTCTCTCCTGCCATGTTGCTGATGGGTCGGCGGTTACAGACGCGTCTTCCTGCTCTGCCGCAGCGACTCGCACCAGTTCAACCAAGCCACGAGAGGTTCCGGGCTCAAGACTCCAGGAATAAGGTCAGGCAGGCGAGAGACTTCAATTGCCGGCACAACGCTCGCTCTCTTAATCCTCTCAAGCCAGGTGACAGCGTCGTCTGGGTCACGGATGCCAGCTGTCAAGCACGCGTCCTGAGCCCTGCCCAACGACCACGGTCGTACGTCGTAGAGACTCCCAAGGGAATCCTACAGCGAAACCGCCGGCACCTGGTGCCCTTCTCGCCGACCGTTACTGCGAGGGAGTCTGTCGAGCTTTCTGCTGCCGAAGAGCCTCCAGGACAACCACCCGAAGAAGGTCAGCCTGGGGAGTTGCCCACTGCGGGCTGCTCTTCACCCTCTCTGGATCGTGCATCTTCCCCGCAAGGTGTTACAAGATCACGCTATGGACGTGCCATCAAGCCACCAAGACGGTTGGACTTGTAAACATCGCTTTCTTTCGAACTGTGTAACTAGAGTGCAGTAACGAGCTCCGGGGGGAGATGTAGAGGAGACCAAGAGATGGCGCCAGGAGCGCATCGTGATCTAGATAAGCGCGTGCGCCGCGAGACGCGGGGGACTTTTCGCCACTTGATGCTAGGGTAATAAACGTTGTGGGTCTGCTTCGTCTACCCTCGTCTGCTTCGTCTGCCCGGCTGGCGCGTCGCGCCCAGAGCACACAAGCTCTGAACACATGTATCCTTAACTCCTATGTGGCAGCCTGTCACCAGCGTACCAATGATGAATCCCTGGTTGAGCATATTGTCCAAGCTGCGCCTCAGGCCTTCCTTCTCCATGTGGGAGCTCGACTTCACTTCGGTGGACTGAAATGCAAATCAAATGTTTCAATGACGATTACAATATCTCTGAAGATTGCAGGTTTTGAATGCTTACTTTAAATAAATAAAGTTTATTTTGCTTCTAGCCTCCTTCAGACGGATATTGTTAATATGAGGGTAATTTAAAGTGGATCAGCTTTATGGATATCTCAAAAAAAGGAGTGCCAAACTATCATGATCTTTTATGTCCACAAATTATGATTTCCTCAACTATATATTTGGTTTTTGAATTCACTGCATGCAGCTTCCATCTATCCAACTACCATACATGAATGCATATATATATTCTTCAATCTTTACCACTTTTTTTATCTTTTAAAAGTGAGTCTTTTTTAAATGTTTATTCTATCAATGCTTAGGTAACATTTCCAGTTCGTAATATGTACTGAATACATACGTCCTTTGGATTTGCTAACAAATTCAAAGCACCAGTTCTGCAAAGGGGAGGTGAGTCCCCTTTAAAACGTCAAGAGCATACACACACTGAGGTTAAGGAAAAAAATGCCTGCCGAGCTTGCAGCATAAATTAATTTGAGTACAATGTAAACAGTGGAATGGGCTGAGATTTATAATGCAAGAATTGATGCAAAGATTTTTCTCAATGTCTGACCGCTAATGAGAAAGAAGGAGAGGAACAAAAAGAGAGCAAGCTTTAGTGGCTGTGAAAGCAACAGTTAAATTAATCCAGGAGGCAGTTGCAACAAGATACACATGATAACCTGAAAGATTAAAAAAACACCTATGCCCTACCTGGATTTGCTCAAGATGGATTATGCACTTAACATTCATTTTCATCAGGCTGTACGTTCCATACTTCGCCGAGTAGTCAGGGGAGTCCGCCTGTCCGTCCCCAGCCAAGCACGTCTTGCCCTGTAGCTTCTAAACGAGCTGTGCCTGCTCTGCTTTCCAGACCTGCAGAATATTGGGTATTCATGTTACGGTGTTACTACCAGGTGATAATTGGACCACTATAGCACAATCCTTACTTTCAATGCTGCAGGGAACAGAAAGGTGCTCTGAATCTTGAAGTACCGGGGCTTCTGGACTGTGGCAATTCCAATCAAACTCAGGAGGTGCAGGACACATGTTGGACTTGCACCCGAGAAGGTAATGGCCCCACAGAGCAGTAGAGTCAGCAGTGACCTGCTCCTCAATCTGGGCTGGATCTCCCAAATGAGCTCATGACCTCGGGCATATGTGATCACAGCCCGAAGAAGAGGGCTTTGTCGACTGATCTTGGCTGTGGCCGGAGGAAGGCACTGGAAGCAGACTGTGAGAAGCTGCAGCAGTCTGGATAATGTCACTATAAACTTTGGCTCCGCATTAGGATCTGCGGGGTTCCCGGTAATGTTGGGTTCTTCTTACCTGCAATAGAGCCCAGAAGGACGCATTGTTTAACCCACAAGAAAGTGATGTATTGAGGTAATCGGCAATCATTTTCCCAAAGAAACCGTAAAAAACTTAAAAATGGTATGCTTTATCACAATTGTGCTCCATCAGAAATAACAGCACGAAATTACAGTGGAAAACCTTAATTCCTAGGTCTTATGTAGGTTGATTTGTGCACGTCACTTTGTAATAATGTTGGGGTGTGCGAATACGGAAGAGTAGTAATCTAATTGAATACCTAATAAAGTCAAGAAAAAAAAAAGTAAAAAATGATGGATAGCAGCAGGCATTGGATGCCAGCAAACAATGACTCGTGAAATCTCTACCTATACTCGGCGACAACTTTTCTTGGCAATGCAGTGGAAGGTAAAGGCCCGCGTCCCCTCTTCCATTCGGAGTGTACGCAGGATATCCTCCTCCCCCATTTCCGGGGAGAGGAGGAGAGCCTGCGTACACTCAAAATGGGAGGGGACGCGGGACGTACCTTCCACTACATTGCCAAGAAAAGTTGTCGCCGAGTATAGAGGCCTGCGGCAAAAAATGCTCCGACTGCTCAGCATAATAACAATGCCCCAGCATCTGCTTAACCCTGGTGCCCTCAAAAGTAAAAAAAAAGGCGTTCAGACTTTTTTATTATTTTCTTAGGGGAGAGGTGGGAGGTATTTTTCAAGAAATGTAACAAAATACCTTTCACCCTGATTGTATTGCGATACAAAGAAACATTCCAACTGTATTTTGATACAGGAATACTGCTCAAAAGAATGTATTGCATTACAGAAATACAGATCCGAAATCTATTTTTGAAATACTATTGCGATACATTTGTATCACGATACTGCCCAACCCTGCCTGTGAATTATATTGACTATCGGCCCGTAATGATGTCGCGGGTCGTGGAAAACAGCTTTTCACATTCTTTTGTAACTGTGTAGGCTTCAAAGCACATTTCACCAATGTGTGAAATGTGCATTACAACAACGTTTCGATTTGAAATAGAAAGGCTTTTGCATGTGAAAGAAATGCGGTATGGTGGAGCCTTGCATACTATGGTCCCCCCTCAATTCATGTACGTGGGTGGAGCAAACAAAGAGGTGTTCTGTTGACTTGTGATTCAAGTGTGTGCCCATTACGAGTAGATCTGGGTGCTTTCATTGCTGATGCATTGAAAATCTTCTTTATTTATTTCTACTTTATGCGCTATGTTGTTTTAGAACAGTATAACCAAAATGTATTTTGCATGTTTGGAATTACTACAATGGGGGTAGAGGACACATCTTTCGTTGGATCTGTACTGGCCGTGCGTCTTTTGCGTGATATGTGTACTATTTGAGTAACCGAACACTAGAAATTCACTTCGTGAATGAAATTATTCAGCGGCATACTCTTTGATTCATATTCGGGATATTTGAGTATTTGCACACCCCTAGTAACAAGACTTCATAATAGTTCAGTACCACCCAGCGAGTATATGTTACACTGGCTATGTCTACATGGAAATTGAAGCCTGTTGTCACTCTGTGCTTAAATGGCAAGTCTGCCTTACTTGTGCTACAAGATTAAGTAGACAAAGCAGACATAGATGAGGGTGATCCAGTTTTTTGCCGAAAAAATATTCAGAATTCTACATGGAGCAAGTGCACAACTGTAAGGTAACTGATACTTTTCCTCTGAAAAAGCACAGAAACTGATGTAAAATAATGCAGCCTATAATAGTACTAAGACAATATACTACCAGGACATACTCATCAGCAGAATCCTCTTCCGAGCTGTCAGTGTCACCCTTGTCTGGAGAGTAAATAGGATCTTGGCTGTCATCCTCAGAGATGTCGTCCTCAGAATCGCTCTCCGTGTCCGAACCCTCTTCTTCCAGGCTGGTGTTGCTTTGTTTACCAGGCACTGAAGGTGGTTGCTTTCCCAGCTTGTTGCATACAATGTTGACTGCATGGAAAGGACCTCATTTGGGAGCAGAAATCTTTGAGGACTTGCACCTACAGCTGCGTCCATAAAAATTCAATTGGTACTGTGACCACATGCTTTGATTTATCATTGGCTGCTTTTTACACAGTACTGGTATGGCATGAAATGTTTCCAGCTAGGAAAATATTAGAAGGGAGGCCTTGTTTGGCTTTGACAAAACAGCCTGTAAAACCTCTAAAATCAGCGGTATACAGCAAAACCTCGTTAATTCGGATCTTATGGGACCGGCAAAAATGTCCGAATTATCGGAAAGTCGAAATATTGAAAGGACAAAGAAAACTGCGCGAAAACGTTTCCCTGTGACATACCTTTATTTTGAGAAGAAATCCGTTATTACCGCCTGCTTTCTGGGCGAGACTTGGGCGGAGACGGCAACTTTCCTTAGCGCGATCGAGTGCTCCACTGCACTCGCACTGCCGGAGCTACGCATCCCGTGCGCTTCTAGTTTCGGGTGCACCACCTTCCAAGGCCGCTCTCTTTTGGCGTCTCGCTCTCTAAAGCCCGTAGAATATCGGCCTCGATTTTCACGTACGTGGCCAAACTGCTTCTCTTGACGTCGTAACTTTCCGTCACTTGTCGAGAGACGCCGTCCTTCAAGGCCCTCAGTATTTCCCCTTTCGTCGCTAAATTCTCAGCCTAGTACAGCTGCAACGGAAAACGAGAAGCACAACTGACCAATAATCGGAGTGGCGAAATCGCGACACCCGGCACTATTTTTCCCGAGCGCGCCGATGGCGAGAGTGCCAGTCACGTTGCATTTTTCAATGCGGGGGTGGCCGGCGAAAAATTGAGGGATAAGATAGCTGTTAAAATGCCGGGCTTTAGGATCCCCGCGTCGAGGCATAAAACGTGACTGTCACTCTCGCTATCGGCACGCTCGGGATCAAAAGCCCCGCGTGTCGCGATTTTGCCATTCCGGTCATTGTGAACTTGTGCTACCCTTTTTCCGTTGCAGCTATGCTTCTGCCGCTTCCATGCCAGGAAAGTAACACGCCGAAGCACAGCAATCCAGAGCAGAGCTGGTGCGAAACACGGAGAACCGGAAGAGCGAAGAACCATGGGAAAACTGGAAAAACCACGTGTGCACCTCGGATGGATAGCGGTCATACCCTTTGGAACTGACGGTAGCTAGCGCCACCTGCCGAATTAACTGTACTGCGCTGCGTTCCCTCCGAATTAATGAGCGTTTGCTGCCATTAACTAATACATACGTTTGACGGAACCGGATCGGCAGTTCAAATTATCCGAATTTCCGAATTAGCGGGGGTTAAATTAACGAGGTTTTACTGTAGTAATATAGCGGTAAAATGTTGCATTTTACTGCTATATTTATTCTTCACTGAGACATCCGTTTCGTTAAATCACTGCCGTTAGCAGTTCAACAGGCTCTGGCCGTTGCTGCAAGGTGCTGAAAACATGGCAGCTAATTTTTAATGTTAGAACAATTTCCATAGTTGTACATGACCTGCAACTCAGTGATTGAGATTTGCAGCTTTTTGCCGTAGCAAGTTGCGGACAACACGCCAACTAATTTTTGATGCAGGAACAACTCAAAATAAATACCTAGTGCCCACAGAATTTGATTAGGCTGTAGGCCCAAGTTACTTTCAGGAGTCAGTGCCAGTCATCCCAGAGATTAACAGGTGCTTGAACACTGTGTTACAAACTTGAAGCAAGTGCACGCAAGATGCAGTGTGAATTAAAAAATTTTCATACCTTTATTCTGGAGAAATAATTAGTGGGCCACATCCAGCTTTCTTGTGTAAGGCAATCTCTAACTTCCAGAGCAATCAAGTCCATATGGAGAACTACAGAACCTGGAAACAAAACAAAAGTATGTGGAATGGGATTATGTTCTGAAGAGAATTCAGGGTGTCTACCAACCTGGAAAACCGGGAATTCTCAGGGATTTTGAATATTCTGGAAAATCTCAGGGAAAACTCAGGGAATTTGTGCTTCTATCAGGGATTTTTTTTTTCTTTATTTTTTTTATTTTTTTTAAGTGTTACAGATGAATTCTGACAGTCCAAACTTCTTCAGATATCAATGGAACGGGCTAAACGTACAGTCGAGCCCGGTTATATCACACCCGTGTATTTCGAATTATTGTTTATATCAAACAGTCCAAACATCCCCTAAGAAATCATTGTTTTTCTGTATTGAACGCCCATAACTCCCATGTAGCTTGGATCGCGAGGCTGGCAGACCGCCAATACCGCATACATACGCAGTGAAAAAGCAATTGTATAAAAAAATTAAAAAAGGTACCCAATAAAAACAAGAAGTGTAGGATGGCAAAAGGAAAGGGAAGGGCACCCATGCGCGTAGGGAGGGCAGGGAGTGCCCGCTGTTGGAACGGTCGCGTGCGCTCTTTTTCCTGAACATCGCTGTCGCTGCGCGACTCCTTAACCCCAAAATAAAGTGAGCAAAAAAAAAAAAAAAAACAAAGATTTCGTCAAGTGGAGTGTGTTGACAACAAGTGTTGAGCAATCGCATTTTGAACGTCTTATCTTTGTTTACCTTTTTCTTTCCCCATTATTGCTCCCGTTTTTCTTTTAGAGCGCAGCTCTTAGGCGCCCGTTTCTGGCTTGAGCGGCGTCGCCGTCGGCGTAACCGTGAGGTCACGTGACCCCCTCGCCCCCCGAGGTCGCATGACCTCACGGGGGGGGGGGGGGGGGGGTTCACGGAAACCTTAGTTTACCTTTTTATATTTTATTTGCTATGAATTTTACTAACCACTCCATTCTGTTTTCTTTTTGAATCCAATAAAAGTTACTCGTTACCATTAAAACTGAATTATGTCATTTTTTTTTTTTTAGTTTATAACATGCTTTTTAGAGAGTGACAGCATCTGGCGACATGGTGACAGCCCGTCTTGACCTAAAACAAAGTTCTGTGCCACTAAGGGAAAAGTACAAAAGTTCCCCGAGTACAAAAGTACTCGGGGAAAACCTGGAAAACTCGGGGAATTTTAAAATGTCAACTTGGTAGACACCCTGGAGAATGCAGTAACAAACTAGACCTCCCAATTTCTACGAACTATGAGTTACACATAAGCTTAGTGCAGGAACCTCAGCTTAATTCTGACGGGTACTAGGCAGTGAAACCAACTTGTGACTTATGCTACGAAACCATTTTATTGAAGGAAGTTCAAAAAATACCTTTGAAGATGGAATTGTCTAATTCAATGAGTTTCGTGAAGCCTGCTGTCACAAGTTAATTTCAGAGGTTGCTGCCAAGTGCACCTCCCAGAGATAAACAGGTGCTTGAACACCGTGTTAGTTACAGATTTCGAGCAAGTGCACACAAGATGCAGTATTGAGTAAAACATGTTCATACCTTTTTCTTGAGAAATAATTAGTGGGTCACATCCAGCTTTCATGTGGAAGGCAATCTTCGTAACTTCCAGAGCAATCAAGTTCATATTAACAACTACAGAACCTGGAAAACGAAAATTGTGGAATGTGGTTAGGTTCTGAACAAAATGCGATGACAAACTAAACCTCCCAATATCTGCAAACTGGGTTACACGTAGGTGCAGTGCAAATGCCGGTGTGATTTAAGAAAACTGTAAATCCGAATAAAATTACTTTTTTTTTTTATTTCAGTCTGTTCAGACAATGCATTTTGTCTGCAGTACCAAGGCAAATGACCAGAAGGTCTGACGAGGCCTTGGTACCGCTACATAAATGAAATATTAAAAAGACAATGACACTCGTCGACAGCAGAGCACACTAAAACAAGAAGCGCTCTTAAATAAAATGTAATGAATAACAAAATATACATATCAATGACATTTAGATTGTACACATTTTCGATACTATAAAAATATACTATAATACCATAACACAAAAAAGCCTACAAAAAAAAAAACGACAACAACAACATAGATAGCAAAGAGGATAAAACCAGATATTTCAGATCAGTTTGCAACATTTGTGGGCGAGAGAGTTTCTTTCACTATGCTTTTGTATCTGTTTAGCGATATATTTGACGTATAAGTGTATGAAGATAACTGTGTATTAAGGAAGTTTGGAATTTGAAATGAGAGCGTTTGTCTGCCCATGTTTGTCCCGATTTTGGGGAGTATATACTTGTCATTTCGAGTGTTGTAATGGTGGTCGGGTCTAGTGCATGCAGATGGATAGCTTGGTTGTTGAAGTCTATGGTCATGGAATATGTAGAGTGCTAGTTTATAAATGTAGAGATGTTCAAAGCTCGAAATTTTATACTTCTCAAAAAACGGAGCTGTATGTGCATCATAAACAGGATTGTGCATTAGACGAACAGCTTTTTTTTGTAATAGATGCAGATGTGTGATATTTGTTTTTGTTGTCTGACCCCAGACAAGAAAGCAGTAGTAAACCTTGGTATATATCAGTGCATAATACAGTTGATACTTCTGCCATTCCGGTAAAAGATGCTTTGCAGGTGAAATTAGGCCTATTGATTCTGAGATTTTGTTTCATATTTTATTTACATGGTGCGTCCTATTGAGGCGTTCGTTAAACCATACTCCAATAAACTTATGATTATCGACACGCTCAATTTGAGCTCTTTCGAATTGCAGTTCAATATGTGTATTGTGGGCACGATTTATTGAGGAAAAATTTACATATTTTGTCTTTTCTGTATTTAGAAATAAACCGTTGAAAGGGGCATGGACACAGAAATTAGGCAAGTTGTATTCATTACATGACAGGAACATACGTTATTGGACATGCACAAAACATTTTGGAATACTTATATCTCTAATAATTACAAAAATATTTTTTTAATGTTTGCAGTTGTTATCTGGTGACCAGGATACCTTGACACTACTCTGACGTAGTTTACCTACTGTGGCGACGGCGGCTCGTCTATAAACCACGTGATTCTAATTGAGACGTTGAACACTCTCTTTCATTGTTTTCTACCCACGTTTGCCACGCTTGT